ACACGACGACTGACTAAAAAGGAAGAAATCCTTAAAAAAAGAGAATACATTAAAAACTTTAACTTTTCCTTTTTTTCTGCCTCCGCGGCCGCCATGGCTCCCATGAAAAAACTCGTGGCGAAGGGGAGCAAAAAAAAGAAGCAGGTTCTGAAGCTCCCCTTGACTGCACCACCTCCTAGAAGATGAAACCATGGACGCTGCCAACTTTGAGCAGTTTCTTCAGGAGAGAATCCAAGTGAATGGAAAAGCTGGGAATCTTGGTGGAGAGGTTGTAACCATTGAAAGAAGCAAGATGTCTGAGGTGCCTTTTTCCAAAAGGTATTTGAAATATCTCACCAAAAAATATTTGAAGAAGAATACTCTACGTGACTGGTTGTGCGTAGTTGCTAACAGCAAAGAGTTACGAATTGCGTTACTTCCAGATAAACCAGGATGAAGAGGAGGAGGAAGATGAGGATTAAAGCTAATTTATCTGGCACATTTTGTATGAGTTCTTGAATAAAACTTAGGAACCAAAAAAAAAAAAAATTTAACTTTTCCATTCCAAAATCATAATAGATATTTAAAAGCAAATAACAAATGGGAGGGAGGAGAAGTATTGTAACAAACACGAAGTATGCATAAAAAGCTCTTACTAATAAAGAAACCCAGAAACACGTCATTAGAAATGAATGAAAAATTGAAAAGGCGAAATAAGAAATACAAATGTCAAAAAAAACCCATATGGACAAATATTCACAATTATATTAATAATCTAAAATAACAGTTCTCACTCAAAGTGTGGTCCAAAGATGCCCAGGGGTCCCTGAAACTCACAAGGGAGTTCCTTAAGTCAACCCTGTCTTTAAAATAAAACTAAGAAATTACTTGTCTTTTTCACTGCGTTGACAGTTACACTGATGATACAACAACAACAACTATGATGGGTAAAACTGCTGGCATAAGTCAAAGCAGTGGCTACAAACTGTACTAGAAGTCAGTATGTTTCACACCAGGACTTGCAGTTAAATAAAAGCAATAAAGTTTTAAGGATGTTCTTGATAAAGCACTTGTTTATTAAAAATTGTTTATTTCATTAAATCTCGATTCTTTAGTATATGTCAGTGATGGCGAACCTATGACACGCGTGTCAGAGGTGACACGCGAACTCATTTTTTTGTTTGATTTTTCTTTGTTAAATGGCATTTAAATATATAAAATAAATATCAAAAATATAAATCTTTGTTTTACTATGGTTGCAAATATCAAAAAATTTCTATATGTGACACGGCACCAGAGTTAAGTTAGGGTTTTTCAAAATGCTGACACGCTGAGCTCAAAAGGTTCGCCATCACTGGTATATGTCTTTATAACATCCTGTGTGACTAAATGTGAAGTATATATAAAGCACCTCTGTTGCATACAAAAAAAGTATGATGGCTGTCTTGAGGAAAAGTACTTGCATGACTGTTTTAACTGTGACGTAAACTTGCTTTTTTCCCCCCCTTCAATACCATTTTTATTTGAAAGAGTAATGACAATGGACATTATTTGTTGCCAATATCTTTCAAAGTTTTACCTGAAAGCTTGATTTTTTTGTTGTTGAAAATTTGAATTCATCACTGAGAGTATGACAACTTCCTAACAGACTTTTCTGATGAAATTGGTGGTAATTTTAAATCTATAATAATAAAAGGATAACATGCTATTTAGACCAGACGTCCTTCCAGACGAAGATGGGGCTGCGAGGGAAGCCCGGGTCCTGGGTGCCAGAGGGAAGCTGGTGCCAGCAGCCAGGGGAAGGAAGGTCTACTTTTGCACGGATTTTGTGCACCAGGCCTCTAGTTTTTACATAATGAGCTGGGTAGAGCATGGTACCCATATGCCAAGGTTTTGGATTCAATCCCTAGTCAGGGCACAATAAGAATCAACCAATGGGTGCTCGGATAAGTGGAGCAACAAATCAGTATTTTTCTCTCTCTCTCTTAAATCAATCAATAAATAAAAAATATTTTTTAAAAATGATCCATTCAAGTACAAGGTAAATCAATGGATTTTAATGTAACGGTATGTAAAATTCCTTGATCTGATAGCAGATTCCACATTATAACTACTTTTAAAGAAATTAACACTTACCAAGTTTTGGTGTAGAATCAAATAAGAATATGCACAATTATTTGGAAAAAAAAGCTATTAAAGTATTCCTCCCTTTTCCAAATGTGTAAGGACACATTTTCATCTACTAACCAAAACTGCATATAACAACAGACTAAATACAGAAGGAAATATGAGAATCTAACTGTCTTCTAGTAAATCAGATAGTCGAATTTGTAAAACAATGCTGCTCTTCACATGATATTTGTTTTGGAAAGCATAGTTATTTTTCATAAAAAGAACATGTTAACATGTGGTGAGTTTATTTTTAAATGAGTTATTTTTAAACTTCTGTATCAACTTCTAATTCAGTAAATATCAATAGATATAACTCACACAAAGCTCTATGTTGTCCTCAATAATTTTTAAGAGTGTAAAGGGATTCTAAGGCCCAAAATTTGAGAAACACTGATCTAAGTTATGCAAATTAAAGTAAAATTTCTATAAAAATTGCAAACATAAAATAATTACAATAGTATTAATAATAATATTATCTAATACCCATGCCTATAAAGATAGAGAGAAGGTGTCATTCTCATTCATTGCCAAATGGGTAAACTGACAAAATAATTCTGAAGGAAAATTTGGCAGCACCTATCAAAAACCTCTTTAAGAATGCAAAAGCTTGGAATCAGCAATTCTGCTTCTAGGAACTTATTTGAAGGAAAAATTAAAGATTTGACTAATTGTTTTACTGCAAGGCTATACAGCTACAATTTATAATGGATGTTACTTAAATTAGAAAAGGTATTCAGCTGTGACAAATTACGTTGTGTATGAAAAATTACTAATTGGTAATACATTACCAAAATTTTTAAAAATTACAAAACTGTATGTATAGCAGGAACCCAATTTAATGATATTTGGGGCATTTTATTATTTTTGTTTATATATTTTAAGTTTTGTTTGTTTTTTTAATAAAGAAAAGTCATACATGGTTTAGTAATAGGAGAAACAACTCCCAGCTACTTAAAAACACACCCTGTCCACTCTATCTGCTTGTGGCAGCCAATGTTAACAGCTCAGCAGTGTATATCCACTCGCATTTTACCTATACTCACACCCAATAGGCAAACAACTATCCATATACTCAAGCAACAGATACATTGATGTCCCTTGTTTATTTATTTTTACAAAAATAAGATACTATACAATGCCTCTTGATTTTTTTCTACTTGTTAATACATATCATGGGCACAGCCAGGTAAAAATATAGATTTCATTCTTTCTTTTTATGAGCTGCATAATACTTCAAAAACGTAGGTGCATCATAATTTACTCAAGGTTTCCTATTGGTTATAAAGATTGTTTGCAGATTTTTAATATTACAAGCAATGCTGTAATAAACATCTTTGAACACAGATCCTTACATTCTGATTACTGTTATCCTTAAGACAGAATCCCTAAAGTGAGTTTTCTGGCTGTACATATACTTTGATTTAGCAAATACTGTAATACTACTTACCAGCAATGTCTGAGATCCCATATCCTCATCAACACTGGGTATAATTTTTGCCAGTCTGATGAGAATTCATTATTACTTTAATTTGCATTTCCTGCCTGCTTTGGGGTTTGGGATTTATTTGTTTATTGACCCCTTATATTTCTTCTTCCTCTATTCCCATCCTTTCCCCATTTTTCTATTGCTGTCATCTCATGCAAATAATTTTTCCTCCGGTCAGAATCACAGCTCATACCACATTCAAAAATAAATTCCAAATGAGTTAAAGATTTAAATGATCAAAAATAATCAAACTATTAATATAAAATATAGAATATCTTTATAAACTTGGGAGCAAAGAGATTTTCTTAAGCATGAACACTAATTGCTTTGGGAATTTTTCAAGTTTTCTTTTAAACTGCTGGCAGATATTAACAATGCTCTCATTATCCCAAAGCCCTGTGATAAGACATGTAGAGAACTTCACGGGACACACAGTACTGAGACCACAGAGGCACACGATCAAACACAGGTGCCTTTTACTGCTGCTGCTGCTGCTGCTGCTGCCACTACTACTATTACAAGCTGTGACTGGGATTCTAAACTCCCAACTCCTTTCTCTGTATCCTGTTCACCAAGTATTACCCTCTCCAGCAGCATATTTCCTTTAAGGTGGACTACCTAAATACAGAACCTTCCACAGGACACTCTATCCCAGTGTTCTTCTCCCCCATCACGTATGTGGTAGTTATAAAATAAAGCCTTGTGCAAAAGGGCACATTTTGTTGTCTTACACATATAGGATACGGTAAAACAGATAACTCACCCAAATGGGGAAACAGATCAGTGTCCAACTGATGCTTCTGAGTGCACAGTTTCACCAGTCTCTGCAGTCGACTTATACAAGAGAAGTGTGGAGAGAAGGCTGTGGCTTTCATAAGGACCCGGTCAGTCCTGGGCGGGTCCACGACAGGAGCCCTACTGGATGGCAGGAGGGGCAGAGGCCTCTTGTGAGACAACTGCCTCGCTTGTGCTATAGTGTGTGTGGTGGGGGCCACTCCCTGCAGTGGTAGGCTGGTGTTCGGAGGCTGAGGTGACTTGCAGACTAAGCCCTGCGGTGGCGCTGGAGGTTTGACAGGCGCGGGTAAAGGTGACAGGCTGGAGTGCTGCTGCGGAGGCTGCTGCTGGGAAGGTGCAGGAGGGGGACTAAAGTGCTCTTGCCGAACTTTTAAAATCTCTGTCTCTCTCTGGCGCTGACGATTCTGGGCCAACTTGCTCTGCAACTTCTTTCTCACAGTTGCCCCTTTCTTTAGATCATCATCTTCCTCGTTGAAAGCGAACGGGTCTTCCAACTCGGTTTCCAGGTAGTGGAGAGGGACTCTTGCCCCCGGTGGAGAGAGGGACATACCGTCCAGTCCATTGGGCATCTTCAAGGCCAACGTGGGCACCGCCAGGCTAAAGGCCATGGTATCCATCTGGTGCCTGACCTTTACCTCATCTATAGGATCATTCTTTTTCTTCCTCTCTTTTTTCGGGATAAAGCCAAGTACCTGCAAGTGGCTGTTGCAGTACCTTTAAAAACAGAAACATACATGGGAAAATGTTCATGATATATATTAAGAAAAGCAAAATATAAAAATACATTTTATAAAATATGAATCGTAATATGTTAAAAATGCATGATTAGAGTAACTCTTGACATTCATGAATTTCATATATGCAACTTCCACTCCTCTGAAGCAATCCTCAAAGTCTGGCAATTTTGCTGAAGCAAATATGTGACTGTACACATGCAGAGGCCGCCAGACAGAAGTCCCTCAAATACTGAGTGGCCCAGCTATTGCTTCTCAGACCGCTTTGTTATCCTGTATTCATAGCAAACAGAGTAACTCATAAGAGTCATTTAAAATTCTCTTACGGAGAAAAAATATGTGTTCTAAAGCCATTCAAGTATTTAGAAATTCATAAAGATCTTATGGGCCCCAGCCCATAAGTTGGTTAGAGAGTCCTCCTGATACTCCAAGGTTTCAGGTTTGATCCCTGGTCAGGGCACATACATGAATCAACCAATGAAAGCGTAAGTAAGTGGAACAACAAATTTCTCTCTCTCTCTCAAATAAATAAATCAATTTTATCAACAAATCTCTGTCTCTCAAATTAACAAATCAATTTTTAAAAAAAGATCTTATGATGTAACCCTTAAGAATGTCAAGTGTGCATTGTATGTTCTACACACACAGAGAACAGATTCATAAAGCTGGCCAACAAGAGGAAGGGTTTCAGTGATAACTGTAGTAACTGTAGATGCTTCCCAATCTCTTTTATATAGATAAAAAGCCTAATATGCAAATTGTCTCCTCAGGAGTTCGACCGAGAGACCGGGAGTTCACTCGCTCACTATGACATGCACTGACCACCAGGTGATGGTGTGGAACGAAGGAAGGCCCCAATCAGCCCTGATCACCGGCCAGGCCTAGGGACCCTACCTGTGCATGAATTTCATGCACTGGGCCTCTAGTATAGAATAAAGGTTTTGTTGTTTTCAACTCACTTTCAAATTGACAAATGGATTAGTTTTTTTAGTGAAGAAAAATAGATGGGGTTGTTTTTTTAATTTACAAATCAGACTTTCCTGGTCATTGACATGTGGGCAGCCTGAACTGGTAAATGAGGCCACTATGTGCTTCATCATGTAACACAGCAGAGGCTGATGCACGAACAGTCCTCCCTCAGCTACGCTCTGCACGCACTGCAGCCACGCTGGCGGCACTATCACAACAGTCAGAACTCCTAAACCTCCGCCTCTTCACACCTAGAACAGCTTACTAGCATTTAAAATAAGTGTGCAAACGTGAATTTCTAGTCTAAAAGAATTAGTAACTGCTAATGGGGTTCTGGGGGGAAGAAAATGTAAAATTAGACTGTGGTGACAGTTGCACAACCCAGTGAATATACTAAAAAATACTGAGTTATATACTTTAAATGGGTAAACATATGGGATGTGAATTTTATCTTAAACTGTTTTAGAAAATAAACATATAGGTGACGAGTTTTCCTGGCTAATATATACATACTAGTAAAAAAATAAAAAAATAAATAAATAAAAATATATATAAATTATAGCAAACTTAAATTTAAAATATTATATAAAATAACCAACTTAATATAACCACTGATCTCTGAAACCAAGGCTATAATAATGAGCCCTAGCTTAGAAAATGATTTTTACCTTTTAATTATACCATTACTTCTACTGAGCATAACACTATTCTATTTCAAACAGCTGGAACCCATAAGTTAGCATTTATAATACACACCAGATAAGCTAGACACTGATATCAAGAAGCTTCCTCTAGCTGACCACCAACCAGATAATTTTGTCCATTAAAAATCCTTGAGCCCTGGCTGGATTGGTTCAGTGGATAGAGCATCAGCCTGCTGACTGAAAGGTTCGGGGTTCGATTCTGGTCAAGGGCACATACCTCGATTGCAGGCTCAATCCCCAGTCCCGGTTGGGGTATGTGTGGGAGGCAACTAATCGATATGTCTCTCTCACATCGATATTTCTGTCTCTCCTCCCTTCCACTCTCTCTAAAAAATCAATGGGAAAAAATCCTTTAAAAATTTTTTTCTAAAACAATATATAAACCATCTCAAATACCTAGGTGTCCAAGTAGTAATTGCATCAATAATAATGAAAGTACATTTTCAAAATATTAATCTTTTCTATAGTATGTCATGTAGTATAGTTACAATAAGAATATTACCTGTGCTAAAGTTCTACTTTAATTCTATTTTCAAACAACCCTACAAACAAAAATATCAATACCCAAAAAATTATAGCCCTGGCCAGTTTTTCTCAGTGGTTAAAGCATTGGCCCATGGATTGAAGGGTCATTGGTTTGATTTCCAGTCAAGGGCACGTACCTGGGTTGCAGATTTGATTCCTGGCCCTAGTGGAGGCAAGTACAAGTGCGGGAGGTAACCAATCGATGTGTCTCTCTCCCTCTCTCCACTTCCCTCCACTCTCTCTAAAAAAAATCAATGGAAAAAATATCCTTGGGTAAGGATATATATTCATATGTTCTTGGACCAATTTTGAAAAAAGAAGTAGCTTCTCTTGACAGAGCAACACAAAAATCCTTTCCCTTATCTTGTTCTAAAAAGAGGAAACTTCTTAGTATATAAAGGTGAAGGCATATGCTTCACAGAATATTTTGGACAAATTCGAAGTGATTCACTTTACTGCTTGCTGTAAGCTATAACACTTGCTTCAGCTGAATTAAAAAAAAAATCCAAGGTTAACAATCATAACTGTGAAAAATGGAATTTAAGACAAAATTATAGAAATGTATTTATAATGGAGCTCGAAATAAAAAATTAATCCAAGTTCTTCCATTCTTTAAGTTTAAAAAGGGCAGGGGTAAGAAATTATTATTTTCAGTCTGCTAAAACCAAATGGACAGATATGTTTACCCTAATACAGTGGTCCCTTTCTCACCTGAGATTAAAATTTTATTCCTTGCCTCACTAAGCAGCTGTTTCTAACTTTCGGGTATTGTAATTTGACGCCTTAAGTGCTCATTAGAAATTCTAACAGAGTATTCCCAAATCACCACATTATACTATACTCATTTTGGTGGGATCTCTATCAACACAAATTATTTATTTCACCCTAAAAGGGTAAAAATTGCTCACTCTGAATATAAAATACATATTCCTTTTCAACCCTTTTATGCAGGTGACATTTGCTTATGTATGGGAACAAGGATGAACTTTTTACCTCTAAAAGAAAAGTAAAAAGTTCAAAGTTTCTACCTAAAGATAACATATTTGAAACTTTCTTATAAAATAAGCATGCACCCCTCATTGTAATAACCTACAATGATCAATACTGTTTCTATAGAACTGAAGAAAAAGAGATCATATGTGAAATCTAGTGTGAATTTTCCTAAAAATATGAAAGATGAATAACCAGCATAAGACTTCTTTAAAACACCTTCCTGTATTATTATTTTTAATTCAGCAAAGCATAAATTCATAATTCTAGTGATAACAGCCACTCATACTAATTTATAGTAAACATACTATAAATTAGTATTCTAATTTTCTAATTTATAGTAAACATACTCTATATGGAATTCTTTTTAACCAAAAAGAAGTCTGATAAAAAGTACATCTGAGTGATTCAAGTAATCATTCTTTCGAATAACTCTTTTTCAATAAATACTTACCCTTTTCTACCTTTCAAGCACAGATTTTAAAGTTCCAAAATTACTATCATTACTTACAACACCTAAGTAGTTCCTATAATTTTTCTCATTTAGGCAGATGACAAGTCAGAAACACTTTATAAGGCTGCAAACTAAATACATCAGTACTAAGACTTCAAGCAACAGTTTTGTAATCCTAGCAAGTCTATTAAATCAATATAAAAAGAAAATACTGAAACATACTTTTCAAATGATCCCCCAAATTTACTATTCCCCTTTTTTAAATTACCAATCTCTCATCTTTAGAAGCATTTCAAAGTTTAGTTAGAATACTCCAGGAAAGCATCCTTTACATTCACTGTATCAAAAGAAAAAAGGACAAGAAAAAGAAAAATCCCAGCCTAATTAAATCAAAGGTTGAGTCCCATTACCAGCTCTTACCTACGATCCTCTGATTTGGGGATGGGGTTGGTGCAGCGTTGGCTGTTATACTTGGCCACATATTCACATTGCTTGAAGGGGGCAGTCTTGTCCTCCAGAACGTGTCTGATACAGAAAGCGTAGCCGTTGAGTCGCCGCTGCTTGCACAGTTTGGGGCTATATGAGCACAAGGGCTTATTGTCAACCTCAGAGAAGTGTATATGTTTCCCTTCATACATCACGTGACTCTATTCCTTGTGAACATCAGCTAAAAGACCACCACAAAAAAAGAAACCCAAATGATAAATCAGAGAGTATAAGGCAGATTTAAGTTGAGAATTTCACTGAGCGACTTCTGGCCCCATAGCCATACCTGATTTTAAATCTTCTGCACCATAGCAATGTTAAGAGAACCCCAAGGATACCACACTTTGGAATGCTGCAGAATCAAGATGAAGCAGATTGTCTATAAAAATATCAAAAGGCCTAGTTAACAAAGTGAAATAAGCGAAGTTTGCTCACCTCAGAAGTAAAATACTACGATATCACCCTTCTAATGGGATGGATTCTTCATTGTAATTCAACGTCCCAATACTGAATTAAAGTAATAAGAGGCATAAAATATTAAGTTACCTTACCCCTCCAAACTGAACTAAATTACTTCTCCTCTGGTTAAGTTTTGGAAATACCTCAAAACAGGTAGGGGTTTTCCACCAAACAAATGCCATAAGGTCTTTTCATCTCATTCCTGCTGCTTACAGGCTATACCTATTTTCAGAACCCGAATCTCTTTACAATGCCGATGGACCTCAAACTTCCCTCAGAAAGTCTACATTTTTTGATAGGTTGACAAGTGTTTGGCAATTTGTAACAAATGTTTTTATGAAATTTAAAAAAGAGCAAATTCCTGTTTTTAAAAAAGTAATTTTCCCTCTACTCTTCCCCCTCACTTAGCCCATCTAAACTATAAACTTCTTAAGCCCAAAGACTAGTCACCCAACCACACTTCCACCACTCAGTTCAGTTCTTGGTACTACATGGCACTCCCAATAAAAATAAATAGAATAATAATCATGGTTTATGAGTCTTTGGAGGTTTAGTAAGAAATGGAAGAAAGGACACAATACTCATACCTCTCTAAACACAAAGTTGCAGCAGTAGAATTTATATACAGTGGGGCCTTGACTTACGAGTGTCCTGACTAACGAGTTTTTCGAGATACGAGCCGTCTCTCGGCTGATTTTTTGCTTTGAGTTGTGAGCTAAAATTCGGGTTATGAGCCAGCTTCAGATACCCCACAGCTAGTTGGCGCAGCGAATGTCACAGTGAATGCCACAACATCAGCCCAGCATCACGTGTCTCACTCATTCACTTTTTGATTTGACATACGAGTAATCTGAATTACGAGCTCTGTCACGGAACGAATTAAACTCGTAAGTCAAGGCCCCACTGTATTGCTAGAGGCCTGGTGCATGAAATTCGTGCACGGGGGGGGGGGGGCCTCTCAGCCTGGCCTGTGCCCTCTTGCAGTTCGGGAGCCCTCAGGGGATGTCCGACTGACGACCCCTGGGGAGTGGGCCTAAGCCGTCAGTAGAACATCCTTAGTGCTGCAGTGGAGGTGGGAGAGGCTCCCGCCACCGCCGCTGCACTCGCCAGCTGTGAGCCTGGCTTCTGGCTGAGCGGCACTCCCCTTGTGGGAGCGCACTGACCACCAGGGGGCAGCTCCTGCGTTGAGCATCTGCCCCCTGGTGGTCAGTGTGTGTCATAGCAACCGGTCGTTCTGTGGTTTGATTTACATATTAGCTTTTTATTATATAGGATAAGACCACATAGTCTACAATGAAATTGAATCAACTAATCTGTCAAGTAGGATTGCAGCGGGCTGATGTGGTCTAACACCCTTTCTCTACACTCTGAAAGTCACCCACATAGCCTATAGAGCAGCTTAGATACCAGCTCAGAAAGCTTCAAAAAATACTCTCTCCTTTACTAAACTCAATATGAAATTCCTTATACGAGTGAATGGCAAGACACATAAATGCTTGAGGAATCGGAAGATATATTTGCTCAAGTTCAGAATCTGGACTTACTTTGTTATCCTGAACAAGTCATTTAACCTCAGTTTTCTCATCTGTAAAATAGGGATAATAACAGTAGCTATGTTATCATCAAGCTGCTCCAAGGATCAAATGATAGAGCATGCAACACACCAAGTACTGTGCCTCATACATGTTAAACAATGAACAAATGAAAATTACAGATTTTGAGAGAGAAGGGAGAGAGAAAAAGATCAAGAGCAAAACATAATCAGCTGCCTCCCACACACCCCCTATCAGGGATCTAGCCCACAACCTGAGCATGTGCCCCAACTGGGTACTAAACCGGCAACCTTACAGTGTACTGCATGACACCCAACCAACTGAACCATACCGCCAAGGTAATAATGCTGACTTTTAACATGATTTCCCATTATGTTAAGAAAGTTATCAATTAATTCCTATTTTAGTAAGTTGTCCTATTTTTTAAAAAACCTCAGAATTAATGATTAATGTTACCAAATTCTTTTTCAGCTTCTGGGGAAGATGATCATTTTTCTCTTTCATACTTTTAAAAATATGGTGTTTATTATTTTCTGACACTGAACTCTTCTTACAGTCCTGGGATGAAAGCACCTTGGTCATTATGTATTATTATCTTAATGTGTTGTTGAATTATACTTGCTAATATTTAAGATTTCTGTAGTAGGAGAAAGGTCTAAATTTTCTGTTTGTGTGCTTTGCCAGAATTTGGTATCAATAAATATTTCAAAAAATAATTTAGAAAATCTTTCTCTTTTTCTATGTTCTTGAGCAAGTTAAAAAGCACTGCAGTTATGATGTTCCTTAGAACTGCTGGGCTTAGTACTGCTTTTTCATAGTGAATCAGGTTTTCACATTTATCCCCATACACTTTAGCAATATGACCTCTTACATTTAATTTCCTAAATATATATGATTTTTTCTCATATTCAGTGTATTCATTAATTCACATATGTGGTATTTGTGATTTCTCCCTTTGTTCATGACAGGTTCAATAGGAGGTTGTTTGTTTGTTTGTTTTCCAGTATCCTCTAAAATAAAAACACAAAGAACCAAAATCTCTTGGAGTTATTAGTATCTCCATGTATGTTTTCTAATTCATCAATTGCTGCTTTTATCTTTGATAATACGTTCTCTTATTGATTTTTAGAAAGAGAGAAAGGGAGGAGGGAGAGAGAAACATCGATGTATGAGCGAACTATCGATCAGCTGCTACCTGAACACCCCCTACCAGGGATCAAGCTGCAACCTGGGCATGGAATCAATCTGGCGACCTTCTGGTGCGGGGATGACACCCAACCAAGCCACAATGGCCAGAGCTGATAAACTTTCTGTTTGCTTTTCATTTATTATTTTTTGTAACTTCTTTGGGCTGAATTATTCTATTTTCATTTTTTCTTGCTTAGTAATTTATGAATCTACGGAGTACTGCTTTAGCCATATCCCAAAGGTACTATTACACAGAATTTTGAATATCAGCAGTTTTTAGTTTATTTGGATTTGATATTTTAATTTCTCCTTTGACCCAAGAGTTATTTAGTTTTAGATGGTAGAGTTTTATGTTTTCCTTGTTTCAGTTGTAGTTAAGAATAAGGAACATACCTGCATATATTTGGGGTTTTTTTGTTTTACTGAGATTGTCTTTGGGGCCTCATAAGGATTCTTGAAGAAGCGCATTCATTGTTCCCAGGGTATGTTGTTTGTTATACCATATATCATGGTATTAACATCCACTATATTATTACACATTTTGTCTGGTTGCTCTATCAAGAGCTCAAAGAGATCAGTCAAAACCCCCTACTATGATCTGATTTGTCTGTTTCTCTGTATATTTTTTGTTTTATAAATTTTAAAGCTGTATTATTTGATATATAAAATTCATAACCACTAGATTATCATTCTTTATCATTAGGAAATGCAACTCAAGTGATGAATTTTGTCTTAAATTCAACCTTGTCTGACAAAAATATTTGAACTCTCATTTTTGTTGTTGTTTCAATTTGCCAGTTAAGTATTTACCCATCCTTCTACTCTAAAGTTTTGTGAGGCACTGTTTTTAAATCATGGGTCAGAAAACTCTGGCTTACAGGACAAATCTGGCCCAATGACTATTTTTTTAAATAAAGTTTTACTGGAACACTATCCTGTTAATTCATTTACATGTTGTCTATAGCTGCTCTCATGCTATAACAGTAGAACTGAACAGCTGCAACAGAGATTGTATGACTGAAAAGCCTAAACTATGTATTAAAATATTATCTGCTGGTCCCATTTAGATGACATCTCTTAGTTGGTTTGACTTTTTTGCTCTAATCTGAGTGTCACTTTCTTTTAATAAATGGGTTTATCCAATTTATAATTTTATATTTATTTATTTGGAAAATATTTCATCTTAATTTTATTATTTTACTAGAGGCCCAGTGCACGAAATTGTGCACAGGTAAGGTCCTTAGGCCTGGCCAGTGATCAGGGCCAATCAGGGCCTTCCTTCATTCCACGCTGCCCCCTGGTGGTCAGCGCACATCATAGCGAGTGGTCAAACTCCCAGTTGGTCGAACTCCCAAGGGGACAGTTTGCATATTAGCCTTTTATCATATAAGGATTTTTTGCATTGCTTTTAGCTCTTGGTTCTTTTTATTACATGTTCCATTATATAGCCTATTTTCTTGGAAGATTTAGTCTGTGTCCTTAAGATAACATTTTTTTATTGCACACTAAGAAAATTAGTCTACTTAGCATTATCATGTTTGACCTCATGTTATGAGAAAAACTTCCTAAACCACACATCCCAAAGCAGTATTTTTTCCTTGTATTATGATTTCTACATTGCCATAGTTTATAACTTTTTTTCTTTTTTTCAATATATCCTTTATTGATTTCAGAGAGGAAGGAAGAGGGAGAGATAGAAAGAAACCTCAATGATGAGAGAGAATCATTGATCAGCTGCCTCCTGCACACCCCAACTGGGGATCGAGCTTGCAAGCCAAATCCACAACCTGGGCATGTGCCCTGACCAGGAACCAAACCATGACCTCCTGGTTCATAGGTTCATGCTCAACCACTGAGCAACACCAGCCAGGAAGTTTATAACATTTTAATGCTGGTTCTACATTTAAATTTATTCCATGCTACTCACTAATCCATTTCATTTTTAATGCATCTCTGATTCAATGGTTTATAACATAGTCACCTTCTCTATCTCCCCTTCCCCTCCACCCCCACCCCCACCCAAGGCTGATTTATGGAATCTCAGCCATGGTTTTTCTGTCTGGAAATATATGTCAATTAAACAATATACTTAAACTATAGCTTACCTGGACATAAAATTCTGGGTCAGATACTTTTTTGTCTACGAAATTTGTATATTTTTTTCCATATCTTCTAGAATGAAAATGCCTAAGGCCAGCCTCTTTATTTTATACAGGGCTTGATTTTTTTCCCCCCATTTTGACCTAATAATGTCTTTATATTTAAGGACTAGAAACTACTTTAGAGGCCAGCCAGCATGGCTCAGTGGTTGAGTGTTGACCTATGAACCACAAGGTCACAGTTCAATTCCAGTCAGGGTACATGCCTGGGGTGGGGACTTGATCTCCAATAGGGGGCATGCAGGAGGCAGCTAACTGATGATTCTCTCTCATCATTGATGTTTCTAGCTCTCTCTCCCTTTCCCTTCCTCTAAAATAAATAAAAACATTTTAAAAATGTATTTTTAAAACAAAAATATATATAAGAATGTATTAAAATCTGCCAAGTCAATGTCCTTCTAATGCTAAGAATTCAGTAATCTATCCAAATTGCCCCTTTTCAGCATTTGCCACTAGGTGGGAAAGGAAGCTCTCTCTAATCATCCCTATGCCATTACAAAAAGGTGTTTAATTTCAACCTCTTATAAACAACTCCTCTGCTATCTTAATATTTTTACATCTGTGGTTAATTTTTTCTTCCCATGTGTTTCATTTTTAATGTTTTTAATTTCTTTTAATTTTTTCTCTGATTTTTAATGTTTTAAAGTCCTACTAAAAGCCAACTTTATATCATTCTTTGCATCTTACTTTTGAACAATCAACTGGTTTCTCCATTTTCAAATCCCTCTTTTAAAAGCTCAACTTAATCTTTATACTTAAACTTTCAATTCCCTTATGAATTCACTCACGTTAAATACCATAAAAGGAAAGAATGTTTGGGGAAAATGGCCCTCTGCTTGGAAATCTAACATTTCTAAGTATTATTTAATATCAAAATCACTTTGTCTATAAACTGGAAACAACTATTCCTCTAATAGGTTTTTCCTTTTTTAATTAAAGAAGACATTATGACAAAATCACTAAGGCAGCTCTCAGGGAAAAGACCCTACATTTTTTTCATTCTTTACATCCAGCCTCCCACAACTCAAGTTCTTTACCATTACTCCACCAAAGGTGAAGTTCACATGGCCTTCACTCTTTGACACTCCTTGTAAAATATAAAGAGAGGAGAAACATCATAAATGATCTTAATCAAATGTCTTATAGACCCTAATATTTAAATACTATTGTATCTCTAATCCATAAAGAAATGCTATAGCTAAGCTCTACCTTTTAACACATGCTAACTATCACTTAAAAGAGGAAGGAAAAATATCCTAACCAGACAACTATAAGTAGATATTTTCTCCAACCACGAAATAATTTGCTTAGAATATAACAGATTTATGCTCCCTTAAGGAGAAGAATGCAGATAATTAAGCACTTTAGAGTGGCAGCAGAATAGAAACCCTTATTAAATTATTATCAAAAGCAAAAACAACTATATTGAGAATAGTCTCACAGAAAGAATACCTCCATGTTAAACATACCCTATGTTTAACTGGTGCGTGTACATTTGCATATGAGTATGGAAATGGTACCAAAATTCAAGAGTAGAAAATATGGTTAGGTGTTAAATATTAAAAACAAACAAACAAACAAACAAAAAAACCCACAATCCTCCTTGATATTATATACTGAGTTTAACTTGAAAATGAAACAATTCATTTCTATAATTTCTTTCATCTTGCAAATACAGAGACATTAGCAGGGGACAAAAGTA